CAATTTCTTTAACACCACAAATCGAAAAAATCAAAAGTCAACCCTTTAAAACACTGAAACAGTTTGTCAAAGCTACTTTTTACCCTCGACGCCAGCAGGTTTGTAAGTTGGCATCTCATTTGAACACATCTCGGTGTTGTCGGTATCAATGCGAGAATGAAAGCACAGTGTTTTAGCTGTCAAACGCTGATGTTTTTTTTTCTTGTTTACTGTTGCACGGTCTGTCAGCCATGGCCTGCGGTATTTCTTTCTTTAATAATACATCTCAGAGTGAGTAATGCCATTTGGATACAGGGAGCTCCGCGCCTGGCCTTTGCTCCCTGCACCTCTCCTCTCCCTATCCCTGGAGTGTGTTTCAGCCCACGTACGTTTGAAGGAATTCTATTTGCCGGATGCCCGCGTGCTCGTGTGCGCGAGAGCGTGCGCTAGCGTATGTGTGTTTATAAGCTTGTTGAATTGAAATACAGCCAGGCGAGGTGGAGGGTGTGGGGGGGTGTTGTTTATTGCAAGGATAGGTGAATATCTTTCTCTTCAGCTCGCACGAGCCACCAGGCAAATAAACTCAGCGCATCAAATTTAAATAAATCATTTTTCCGCTTGTACATCCCGGGCGAGGATATTTACAGCAGTGAAACAGCTGCTAATGAACTAATGTGTCCACGCTGGGCGGCGCAGGAAAAAATAGCACGCTAATAGCCGCTCATTACATATGTGTTCATAAAACAATCCACAGGGAACACCGGATTGCATTGTGTCCGTCTATTAGTTTGTGGGGGCGAGCTGATCAAAATAACGCTTGTTGTAGATGTCAATTAATGCGTCTTGTCGTCTTCTGAAAGTCGATTTCAATTACTTTTGGGTGAGCAAACAAAGAGCGCTAGCAGACATGGCTTCCCTGGATAACCTTAATTGATGCTTGGTGTCACAAAAAGAAGTGAATAAGGGCTAAAAAGTACAAGAGATTTTTTTTTTCATCTGCCGTACGTCTCATCTGGCCTTGAAGGGGAGAAAACGGATTCAGCTGAGCTTTTGTAAGGGATTCTCACCTCTCCTTGAGCGAGAGAGAGAGTGCTTCTCCTCCCCCTCCTCCTCCAGCGCTCATCCCTCCATTTCTTCTATTTCCTCTGATTTGTGCTTTGTTTCATGCCTAATGTGGTTTAGACGACTATTGCTTGATAAAGAATTATTTGTTATTCTGCAATAATTGCGCCGTCGCAACATGGTCCAGCTGTCTGGGCCTTCCTTCCTGTTTGGAAGCATGACGAAACCGTCAACAGGGGGCAGTAGACCGCTTTCCACGGTGTGAAATTCAACATGTCTGAATCCTTTGTCTGCGGGTCTCCTAAAAGCCAGTTACCAGAGATGCTTTCTTTTGCCATTTACCTTGAATGCTGAATATCATATTGATATTATTGATGCAATCTTTATCAAAAAAGGTGAGGTGGAGGTGAAAATGTTTTGTATGTACATTTAGGTGTGTGGTTTTATTTTCAGCGCATGTTCTGGTCACTTTATTTTTGTTCATATTAATTAAACCCTTTCGTCGTGTTTGAATAGTCACAGATTTGAAGGTATGTTTCCAAATACTTCATATAATTAATAGATATATTTATTTATGTAGAGAACTATCTGTAAAATGAAAAGATCATGTCGTATTGGTTGAATATTCCAATCCATCTACTGTCACACACACACACACACACACACACACACATACAAAAAAAGCTTTTTAAAATGATTTTAGATTTTTATACTTGGAAATGTCATGCTCAGAAAGTGAAATTGGCCACATTTATTGCTTTTAAGCCTCCATTTCTTCTTTCCTACTGGCATTTCCATCACTTTTTAAGATGGATACTTGCTGTTTTCCACTCTGACAGAAGCACAAATCCAACCTAATAAATGTCTGTATGTATTCGGCAATTAAATAAACAATCTATTATTTCTTTTCTCTGTGCCTACATTGCCGTGTCAGTCACCATATGCCGGGAGAGAGGAGCAGGGAGTCGTATCACGATTGTAGTTTTTTGGCGTTGTGAAAAAGAGGAGGGGGGGGGTGGTGGTAGAGTCAGAGCCGAGGGCTCACGGTGCATGTAGCACATCAGATCTCCCTCAATTAATCCAACATTAGGTGCCTGGGATCCACGAGTCAGTGCTTTTGGAAAGCATGTGTGGCTCAAATCTAATTATTCTCTCCTTTCCTTTGAGGGTGGAGAGATATCTAGAGAAAGCAAAAGAGAGAGAGTCCACGTAGCTATAGGTTTTGTTATGCTGTGATTCTCTCTCTCCTCGCTCGCCCGCTCACTCCGAACCCCCTTCTTACCCCCACCTCCTCCTCTCTCTCACTCATTCTCCATCTCTCTCTCTCTCACATACACACGCGCCAAACACTCTCTCTCTCTCTCTCTCCTGTCTGTCTCTCCCTCCCTCAGCTTCACTCGCTCTTGTGCTGTAAGTTCATTTGCTGTGTCAAGCAACAACTGGCTCGGGAGTGGGCAGTGGGTTTTGATCCTTTTGTCAAGCGTCCCCCCTGCGAGCGTGTACCGCGTCCACCTGCACACCACGGGACTGGTCGCCTGGCTCTGTGTAGCATCGCCTGGGTTTATCACGATTGGGCATCTCCAACCCGCACAACAAGATGCTGCTGAGGGTTTGACGGGGTAAGTCGCATCCACATGTGGACTTGCTTTATCTTGTTCTTCCAGAATATCGATTGATTTTGTTTTTTTGTCAGCCTAAATGCGCGTCGTGTACATTTTGGTCATTTTCACCAGTGTGTTCCACACCTCCTGATGCTCATGTCAAGTGTCTTGTGAAATTACCATATTCATGGGCTCCATTCAATTAAATTGCAATCAGTAAAGGGTCCGACTCAAAGTGTGTGTGTGGTTTTTTTTTTTTTGTAATGTAGGGTGGAATAGCGCAGATCGCTTGTTGAGAAAGGGAGGAGTGGAGAGAGGTTGAGAATACAGATTTATTTTTTTTTTCATATTTCATAGCTGCTATTTCTTTAATTTTGAGACAAATAATATTTAGAATTAAATTATGAGTGAATTTTTTGGATGTAGAGAGTCAAATATAAAAAAAAAAGAAAGAGAAAGAGGAAATTAGGAGGAGGCAAAAATACAAATTTCCATATTTTAGGCTGCTAAAATGTTTTACATTTTTCCTAAATGTTTTTAAACGCAGTGAATAAGTTTTGCATGAAGATATTAGAATAATAAAAATGTCGGATCAATATATTTATAATTCAAAAGGAGAAAAAAGATGGAAGAGGAACTTTGGCAAAGACAAACAAATCTAAAAAAGCACAAAATCCATGCATGGAGGCCATTGATTAACTCCTGGAGTTCTGAGGGGGTTTGGACGGGGGTTGAGTCCCTGGATACTGGAGCGTGTGTGTGTGTGTGTTTGTGAGTGTGTGTAGCTTCTGAAATGGACAGAGCGAGTAAGAGCCCTGGGGCTATAGCACTAGGGGAGTGTGCCCTGCGTCAGGGTGGCTGTGTGTGTGTGTGTGTGTGTGAGGTGCGTCTCATCGTTTTGCAGACTGGGAGTCTGGAGAGCGAGAGAGAGCAGCCGGCTGCTACACTGCCGGTGTGTCGCGTACGGTGGCTTTTGTTGCGTTGTGTGCTCGAGTCCAGCTATTCCTCGTATTCTGTCCCTCTCCATCTGCCTTCTCTTCAGTTTAATTTACTGGCTTCCCTCTGCTGGCTTTTGAGAAGTGGGGATTTCAGCAGGAAAAGCTGAGCGTGTGTTTCACATTTTGTAAATGATCAGTGTTAAAATAGAGTAATCGATTTTAAAAGTATCTCCAGGTTATTTTGTCAGAGGTGTCATGTTTGTTTGTATATTACACGAATATATTTGGTATGAAATGGAGGACAGTTAGGCAGATACAAATTGTGTTTGTGATGTTTTTTTAATGGTAGGTTGTTCTGATAAAGTGTGTTTTTATTTCAAAATATTATTCAGTAAAAATATCTTAAATAATTGTGAGATTTTCTTTAAAATGTAATTATTGACAAACACTTTATATAGGTAATAAAACCTAGTACACTTTTGCATGAAATTGAATTACCCCTAAATAAGCCCTATATCCCTAAATAAGCTCCATTGATTAGAAGGAACTAAAATAGATATATAATTAGAACATAATTAACTGAATTATTTGTAATCTGTGAATTTAAACAAAGAATAAATGTTTTACTTGTATTAATCTCAATATTCTTAAATGACACAGTAATAAATGCACTAAATTCATTCTAATATTAGAGATAGATATGGGAGAAATCCCATATTATAAAATGCACAAATCTTTTCTTAACATGCATTTACAAGACTTTTTTCCCCCTCTCATATACTAATCACACAGTTTAGCCCCCACCCCCTTCTCGTTTTTTTCTTTCCCTCCCCCTGTCATCCTCAAGTGGGGTATGAGGAGGAGGGGGGGTCGCTATGCTTCATTTGAGTCCACGTCTCCATATAGAATTCTCCTCACGGTGCTAATGGACTAATTTTGCCTCATTTCTATATCACAACTAGACCAACATCAAGGAAACATCAGATTCTACCCTAACCTCCACGGTCTGTGTTTCTAGGTGCACCCTTTACAGTGGACTATCATCACCATCATCATCATCGCCGTGGCAATGGGAATCAAGACATGCATGCTCGCCGGAGGACCTCCACGGGGTCCTTGCATCCCAGGTGAGTTTACGCTGTTGGGGGGGGCTTACCCATAACCCCCTTCGCCCCATCCCCCCTGCTTCTTCATTAAATGCACCTTTCCCCCGAACGGCCCTGTGAGAGCACAGATTGCTGGGAGGAAACGGGACACAAAACACACTTACCAACACATTTCCTCTGAGGCGTTTACTGAACCAAAATGCACTGTTAATTTCTGTTTGCAGACGAGCCGTTGAGGGGCCCTTGCCTTGCGCTACAAAGCGTCTTCAATCAATTGTTTTGAAAAAGGCCGTTTTCCGAACAACAGGCAGGCGGTTCTGTTGTTTCCCTCTATAAAGGACTCTCTTCGGTGACGGGTATTCTTGGGTGGATAATACGGCTCTCGTTGTTATTGCTTAAGAATACGCGTAGTCGAGGAGAGTCATGTCGGCGGCGAGAGAGCGTTGAATCCAGAAGGCCCACCTGCCTGCACGCACACATGCGTTTGGTTCACGCCCACATCCATTTATTGAGTCAGCGATACTGCATTTCCTGTTTGTGTGTGTGTGTGGTTGTGTGTGAAGCTTGTGCTGTTGATTTATCCGGCGACTCCTACCAAACATCTTTTCAGCCATCGGATTTATGATTCGCCGAAAAAAGAAGGGAATGGTGTATGTTGTAACACATCGGGCGGGGTTTAGATGCAAATGTGCCATATATTCTTTTCTCAGGACCGCACACACTCTACCTTTTTAATGCAAATTGATTTTGAAATGACATTTATCGCGCAGGGTTTCCGTATGGAGAGGGGAAAAAAGAATTGAATGAAACGTCCACGATGCCACTGACAGCTAAATTTATGCGGCTTGTAAAGGGACACACTGCAGATAAACAGTTACCGAGGCTTTAGATTGACTGCGGCGCGGCTTCCCATGTAGGCACGCGTATATATCTTGAATGTATCATGAATATGTATCAGGCCAGCTTATGATGCTGCGTTCTAACGCCCATGAAATCCATTTAGGAAACCTAATAGGATCTACTTGACTTATGAAAGCTTACCATCAGGTCTTATAAATATACATGAAATCAAAACAAATGGATTGCATTTGGACCGGCTTGTTGATGTACTGATTTGTAAAATCTGCAAACATTTTAATTCGTTCGCCATTATTATGCAGCACGTTTAAGTGATGTATTAGCATTTCAGATAGACTAAAGGCAACAATCAGCCCGCTCTATCCTTGATCACTCTGTAATTATCCTTCTTTCGGCTATGTGTTTAAATGAATAGAGAGAAAAGAGGTGTGGAGGAGGAATAATGTAGGGTTTTACCACTAGGGGACCCACACAACTGAAAATCACATGGGATTGTATTGGTTTAACTCATTTGACTGCCGTTTCTTAAAGATTTAAAATGAATATTGATGAAAATCTAACACCTTTCGGCTGATTAAAACGAGTTTATTCTTTGCACGCAGATTTAAAATGAATGACGTTTCATTTATTCCTTTATTAATTTATGCTAAACCGTGCCTTGAGAGAGAATTGCAAGAAAGGTCACATGCAAGCCATTTGATTAGCCATTATATGATATATTAAGAGTATTTTCTTGTATTTCAGATGCTTAAATGATTCCATGCTCCCATAGTTCTGATGTATGATAGCATGTTGGTCGACTTTCTTTCTCTTTTTGTGATGCTGTTGAGTAAATATCTCACTGTAAACCCTTGACACTGATTAACTTCCATCTGTCTGCAGTTTATGACGTGATGAAATTACTCAGGCCTTCACAGCTCATCTTGAAATTATTTTTATGTGCACATCATCTTTGTTCCTCCCCCTTATATTATAAATAAAGCTTGATTTAAGTCAAATTATGATGCTTTTGTATATTTTGTCCCTTGTAGGTGAAGGATCGGTTTTAAATGTAGGCTACAATGAAGCTTAAAATCAAATAAAAATCCATGTATGGACACAACAAACATTTCTGTCTTCGAAAAGCCTGTTGAGATTTATTGAGATGTTTATTTTTGCTATGGGGTTTTTCTTGGTGTAGTGATTATTGAATAATATTTCATTATTAGAGTGTCCTAGCAGGTGGCATTCAGATGCTTTTAATTGATTGAAAGACAAAATGTAACCTTAAACAATTAAAAAAAAAACTGATTTCTTCCAGGCATTTTCATTAAAATAGCATTTTGTCAAAGACATAATGTCTATCACTATATATGCTAGTTATTTAGCTGTCGAAACAGTGTTTTATTTCTATTTTTAGAGAGATCAATTCACTAAGAAGCTTTGATTCTATTTGTTTAAAGAATGTTTGTGAGAATAGTATTATCCCATCATGAACATGTACAAACAATCATGGTATGAATTATTTGTTTATTTAAATACCTGAAATCTATATACAGTAATAGATTTATTCAGTACAAAGCAATATTCTTCATATTTTTCTTGGTATAAGCATTATTATTATTATTACTTATTCTTTTCGTATTGACTGATGGATGGTCATTCAGCTAATAACTCCACTCTTTATGATTGAACATGTATGAGCAGATATTTACACCCAGCACAAAGGCCTGACCTGCAGGGTTATTATTATTATTTTATCGCCTCAGCATTTTTAAGCGATCTCTTTTACGGGATTTTGCTCATTTTCTCGTTCATGATGTCATAATGCTCTATCATCCCTTGACTTCCGTCAGGGCTTAATGCTCTTTGCCACAAATAAGATCAGGGGCATTAATCAATTGAAAATCTGCTGCATTAGCATATGCTTCCCTCGGGAAAGGAAATGGATTCTACACAACCAGTCAAAAGTTTGGACACGCTTGAGTGGATTTGTGATTTTATGGCTAAGCTTTATGCTTAAATGCGTGACATTTGTTTTATAGAAAATTATTATTATACATGATTTTACTTAAAAAATCTAATATTAAATTTTGATTGCAAGCATCAGAACTATAAAAATGGCATTTGCTGTTTGTTCAAACTACTGATTTGAATTGAGCTGAACAACAACACAATTCTTCAGTTTTTTTTGTTTTTTTGGGGGGGACAACTTAATTGTTTTATGTTTAATCCACTTAAATTTGTAAAAACTAAAAAGTTAATTTAATTCCTTCATGTTGTCCCAACACAAATCGACTAAGATAAACTTAACAAATTTATGTGGATTTCTGCTGTGAATATTAACACTCAAATGTTTTAAAAGACAATGTTTTACATTGCATTTGTATTTTACTCAACACACATGCCTAGTAAATCCACATCCAGATAAACTGAGAGAAACTGTGGTCTCTTCATTTGTTTTTTTTTTATTCTATGTAAAATTATTGCTCCCATAAAGAAGTTTTAACATCCATAGAGCCTTTCAATTGCACAAAAGGTTCTTTATAGTGGAAAATAATAATACAGATTTGGGACTAAAAATATAGCCATAAGTGTTTTGGAAATTGATATATATATAAACTGGAAGCTGAATGAATATGCTAATCATTGCTGTATGGTTTGTTATGATAGGACACTATTTGGCAAAGACACAACTAATTAAAAATCTGGAACCTAATGATTAAATAAAATCTAAATACTTAGAAAACTGACTTTAAATGTAAAGATTAAATTGTAATAATGCATGCACTGCAAAAAAAAAAAAAGCTTTTCTTACTTAGAGTTTTTATCTTTTTTCTAGTCCAAATATCTAAAAATTCTTAAATAAAGAAGCATTTTCCAGACAAGCAAAACATGTTGTCTTGTTTTAAGAAATAATATGCCAAAATTATTATTTTTTTCTTAAAACAAGCAAAATAATCTGCCAGTGGGGAAAGCAAAGTATTCTTATTCCAAAGCAAAAACCAGAATTTTGCTTACCCCATTGGCAGATTATTGGGCTTATTTTATGTAAAAACTCACTTAATTTTGACTTATTATTTCTGAAAACAAGACAAATGGGTATTTTGCAGTGTATTATTGATCAAAAAATTTGATTTTACTATTATTAGAGCAGGGCATATAAAATATCTTAAAACATCTTTACTTAACTTTCTAATGATTTTTGACATACATACAAAACCAAGAATGCTGATCCATACGGTGTATTTTTTATTGTTCATAAAAGTATTAAGTAAAAACAAATACTACACTGAAAAATTTATATACTGTATTTATGTTGGCGTTACCAATTTTTTTTTTTAAGGTAAGTGGTTGCAAACAATTTATATGGGCTGAATTGAAACAAATTAAATTTAGTGATGTTCAACTAAATTAGTTTGTTTGAATTCATCTTATATAAATTGTTTGCAACCACTTACCTTAAACAAATTTAGTAAATTCAATGAATATTACTTTTTTTTTTTTGTGTAGTGCAACATAAGGTTGGTTTTGTGGTCCAAAATGCCATCTGTGGATGTTCGGCACACGAAACGATCGATTTGCAGAAATATACGTTCTGGAACCAAAAATTCTTCTTCTATTACACCTCTATATAAAAATAAAGAAGTAAAACACCTGATTACTGTTGATCTACAAAACAGAAAATATTTTTAAATTGACAAAGCAGCCAGACTTTTGACTGGTTGTCTCGACACACAGCAACCTTTCAAATTCAACACGTAGAACAATCACAACCTCTTAAACGACAAGATTGCTCTGCTGGTCTGGAAAACGCTTCTTGATTTTTAGAATTTTTAGATATTTCAAACAAGAAATAGGGCAAAATCTCTCCGTAAGAAAAGCATTTTTATTTTTTTTTTTGCAGTGTATTACCAATCAAAAAATAAGTGTTTACTAAATTAAAAGTAGGACATTTAGAAAATATCTTCATGAGACATCTTTACTTAACATTCTAATTATGGCTGCTCAATATATTGTTTCAGCATCAATATCACAATGTGTTCATTCACAATAGTCCCATGGTGTGCAGTATTGAGTTTTATTTATATTAGAATTCATCATTTCTATGTGTTTTTGAGCTCTGTGATTCTATACTGATTTTAAAAGCATTCAGCCATAATAAATTGTAACATTTGTAACTTTAATAATGATGAATTTGATTGAGTTATATGTTTATGTTTATATTTAACTACTGTACCTGAATACTATAAGACTTGGAAAATGATTTTAGTTTTATCTATTTATTGATGGCTTATTATTTTTTGGGAGATGCACTTCCATGGCAGATTCATCCCAATCAATCTAACATCATAAATTCTTTTCAAATGTAGCTATTATTATATCATCTGGTGAAATTATATTCATATTACAATATATATTGCGATATCGTGCAACCCAAGGTCAAATTATTTTTGACACGCATGCAAAATCAATACTTTTGACCCATACAATGAATTATAATAATGAGGGTCACATGTTCCTCATGTTAAAAGAACGATGGTTCAACTATTCACAGAAAAAATTCTTTCTGGAAATCAAAATGCTTTATTTATTGCACCTTTT